GTAACTGCCCCGGCTGTACAGTAACTGCCCCGGCTGTACAGTAACTACCCCTGCTGTACAGTAACTACCCCGGCTGTACAGTAACTACCCCGGCTGTACAGTAACTACCCCGGCTGTACAGTAACTGCCCCGGCTGTACAGTAACTACCCCTGCTGTACAGTAACTACCCCCGCTGTATGGTAACTACCCCCGCTGTACAGTAACTGCGCTGGCTGTACGGTAACTACCCCGGCTGTACGGTAACTACCCCGGCTGTACAGTAACTGCGCCGGCTGTACAGTAACTACCCCTGCTGTACGGTAACTACCCCCCTGCTGTACAGTAATAGCCTCCAAGCCTCTGTTTGTAAGTCGGGGACTTCCTGTACTGGAAGGGAATTGCAGGATGCTCCCCCTGGCGGCTCGCCGGACCTCCTCATGTGACTAACCAATGGCAAGGCCTGGAAGAGTGACGGCCGCATTCAGGGCTGCAATGTGCACATAGAGCCGCCTGGATTTGGGGCTCCGGAGGGGATTGGGGTTCACTTTCCTGCACTGCAATGAAAAGCTGCTGCAGCTCGGAGCCTCTTACCCCCACTTATTGCCCCCTCTATATAGGAGACCCCCTTCATGGGGGAAGGGACGCACATTGTCAGCCCATGCGTAGACTGGCATTACCTGGATCCCGAAGGTGCCGATGACGATGACGCAGAAGATGGGGTTCCGGTATATTCCATCAAACACGTTGCGCTCGCCGTGGATCTTGCGCGCGTTGATCTCGTTGAAGAGTTGCATCATGACGAACGTGTTGAAGATGATGGTGTAATGTTCTGAGGGCGGGGCATGCAGGGGGGCGTGTCTTCCACTATCGATACTGAAGATGCTTTCTCCTACAACCACAATGTGTTATTAATGATGGCCGACCTCACAAAGTGTCATCCTCATCCTCCAAACCTGCTCATCATCATCCTCCTCCTCATCATCCTCCTCCTCCTCATCATCCTCCTCCTCATCCTCCTCCTCCTCCTCATCCTCACCCTCCTCATCATCATCCTCCTCCTCATCATCATCCTCCTCATCATCATCCTCCTCCTCATCATCCTCCTCCTCCTCATCATCCTCCTCCTCCTTATCATCATCCTCCTCCTCATCATCGTCCTCCTCCTCATCATGCTCCTCCTCCTCATCATCCTCCTCCTCTTCATCATCCTCCTCCTCCTCATCATCATCCTCCTCCTCATCATCCTCCTCCTCCTCATCATCCTCCTCCTCTTCATCCTCCTCCTCATCATGCTCCTCCTCATCATCATCCTCCTCCTCCTCTTCATCCTCCTCCTCCTCATCATCATCCTCCTCATCATCCTCCTCCTCCTACTCCGCAGTCTTACCAGCAAATAGCAGCGTGAAGATGAGGGTCAGCTGGTAGAGGGCGTGGCCCAGAATATTCTTCATCATGGTGCGGGAGATGAGCGGCTTGTTCCGGCCGTACGGTTTGCGCAGCAGAAGAGACTCTGTAGGCGGTTCCGTCGCCAACGCAAGAGACGCAAACGTGTCCATAATGAGGTTCACCCACAACATCTGCACGGCCTTCAGGGGGGAGTCCTGCAACGACCAATCACATACAACATACAGAGATAGCTCCTCCCCCACGGGGCAGAATCATACCGGAAGGGTCACCGCTAGGGGGGCAGAATCATACCGGAAGGGTCACCGCTATGGGGCAGAATCATACTGGAAGTGTCATCACTAGGGGGGCAGAATCATACCGGAAGGGTCATCCCTAGGGGGGCAGAATCATACCGGAAGGGTCACCGCTATGGGGCAGAATCATACTGGAAGTGTCATCACTAGGGGGGCAGAATCATACCGGAAGGGTCATCCCTAGGGGGGCAGAATCATACCGGAAGGGTCACCGCTAGGGGGCAGAATCATACTGGAAGTGTCATCACTAGGGGGGCAGAATCATACCGGAAGGGTCATCCCTAGGGGGGCAGAATCATACTGGAAGGGTCATCGCTAGGGGGCAGAATCATACCGGAAGGGTCATCCCTAGGGGGCAGAATCATACTGGAAGTGTCATCACTAGGGGGCAGAATCATACCGGAAGGGTCACCGCTAGGGGGCAGAATCATACCGGAAGGGTCACCGCTATGGGGCAGAATCATACTGGAAGTGTCATCACTAGGGGGGCAGAATCATACCGGAAGGGTCACCGCTATGGGGCAGAATCATACTGGAAGTGTCATCACTAGGGGGGCAGAATCATACCGGAAGGGTCACCGCTATGGGGCAGAATCATACTGGAAGTGTCATCGCTAGGGGGGCAGAATCATACCGGAAGGGTCATCGCTAGGGGGCAGAATCATACCGGAAGGGTCATCGCTAGGGGGCAGAATCATACCGGAAGGGTCATCGCTAGGGGGCAGAATCATACCGGAAGGGTCATCGCTAGGGGGCAGAATCATACCGGAAGGGTCATCGCTAGGGGGCAGAATCATACCGGAAGGGTCATCGCTAGGGGGCAGAATCATACCGGAAGGGTCATCGCTAGGGGGCAGAATCATACCGGAAGGGTCATCGCTAGGGGGCAGAATCATACCGGAAGGGTCATCGCTAGGGGGCAGAATCATACCGGAAGGGTCATCGCTAGGGGGCAGAATCATACCGGAAGGGTCATCGCTAGGGGGCAGAATCATACCGGAAGGGTCATCGCTAGGGGGCAGAATCATACCGGAAGGGTCATCGCTAGGGGGCAGAATCATACCGGAAGGGTCATCGCTAGGGGGCAGAATCATACCGGAAGGGTCATCGCTAGGGGGCAGAATCATACCGGAAGGGTCATCGCTAGGGGGCAGAATCATACCGGAAGGGTCATCGCTAGGGGGCAGAATCATACCGGAAGGGTCATCGCTAGGGGGCAGAATCATACCGGAAGGGTCATCGCTAGGGGGCAGAATCATACCGGAAGGGTCATCGCTAGGGGGCAGAATCATACCGGAAGGGTCATCGCTAGGGGGCAGAATCATACCGGAAGGGTCATCGCTAGGGGGCAGAATCATACCGGAAGGGTCATCGCTAGGGGGCAGAATCATACCGGAAGGGTCATCGCTAGGGGGCAGAATCATACCGGAAGGGTCATCGCTAGGGGGCAGAATCATACCGGAAGGGTCATCGCTAGGGGGCAGAATCATACCGGAAGGGTCATCGCTAGGGGGCAGAATCATACCGGAAGGGTCATCGCTAGGGGGCAGAATCATACCGGAAGGGTCACCGCTAGGGGGCAGAATCATACCGGAAGGGTCATCTCTAGGGGGGCAGAATCATACCGGAAGGGTCACCGCTAGGGGGGCAGAATCATACCGGAAGGGTCATCTCTAGGGGGGCAGAATCATACCGGAAGGGTCATCGCTAGGGGGCAGAATCATACCGGAAGGGTCATCTCTAGGGGGGCAGAATCATACCGGAAGGGTCACCGCTAGGGGGCAGAATCATACCGGAAGGGTCATCACTAGGGGGGCAGAATCATACCTGAAGGGTCATGGCTAGGGGGCAGAATCATACCGGAAGGGTCATCACTAGGGGGGCAGAATCATACCTGAAGGGTCATGGCTAGGGGGCAGCATCCTACCCGAAGAGTTGTGGCATGGTGGGGGGCAGAATCATACCTGAAGGGTCATGGCTAGGGGGCAGAATCATACCGGAAGGGTCATGGCTAGGGGGCAGAATCATACCGGAAGGGTCATCACTAGGGGGGCAGAATCATACAGGAAGGGTCATCACTAGGGGGGCAGAATCATACCGGAAGGGTCATGGCTAGGGGGCAGCGTGCCGTGTAACATACTGATACATATGAAGGTTGCGGAGATCCGTGTTCCGGGGGAAGTTTGATCCTACGGACCCGCGTGGTGTCATCTCCGGGGACTCCTTTGGCAGTTATGATCGAGGACACACGGCATGGAGCTCCTGACACAATGCTCTCCCTGCCTGCGTATAGTGCTGTGTGGCCCCG